ACTGTTCCTTCTTAGTCTGTAAGTTTCTCTCCTACTCACTCTTTAATGCTGGCAACCATGCAGGGCTCTGTATTTGGCCTTGTCGTTACTGTTTTGTACAGTAGAGTCAGAACTGACCCACAGTTGACCCTCCAGCAGATTTTCAGAGGCCGTTAATTGCACAGAAGGAGACTGCTCATCCTTCTCCCGTGGAACAGCTGGTGCCCTTAAATTGTGTGTCACTGTATAGAGATGTTGTGAACTGGAAAAGACTTGGAGCAGTGGGATTTTTTTGGATTTGGCTTGCATTGGTTTTATGTTACCATTGTGTTACCATTGTCTTCTGTCCGAGGATTGGAAACATAAACATCTGTGAGTAAGTAACAGCAGTGGATGATAGCAGCAGATTACATGTTGTAGTACAAATTTCTGAGTGTAATGTAAGACTAAAGAATGGTTCTAAGTATGGTTCATTACCGTTTGAATACACTGTAAACTAGGACTAACCCTATGTAGAAAACTTAAGAGGCCAGCACAGCTTTTTGACACTAGGTCACCAGAGATGTATTTCTATTTCCTTTGGTGCAAACTCAACTACTCCTGCAACTTCAATAAGAGTACCCGAGGAATATCTATCTGTGTTTCATTGACTATGCAAAGGCATTTGACTGTGCTGATCACAACAAATTATAGTTAACCTTGAGGAGGATAGGAATCCCAGAACACTTGATTGTGCTTATGCGAAACCTATACTTGGACCAAGAAGCAGTCCTCACAACAAAGAAACACTGCGCATTTCAAAATCAGGAAGAGAGTACGTCAGAGATGCATCCTGTCTCCATACCTTTCCAATCTGTATGCAAATCATTCAAGAGGTTGGGCTTTATGAAGAACCATGTGGCATCAGGACTGGAGGAAGATTCATCAACAACCTACGTTATGCAGATGATATAACTCTATTTGCTGAAACTGAGGAGGACCTGAAGCACTTACTACAGAATACAGAAAGTCAAGGACTGTAGTATTCAATATAGATTGAAGCTCAGCATCAAGAAGACAAAGATAAGGGACAAATATTGCATGGTGCCATTGTTGTAGAATGGGTCTGACATCAGGGTGGGGGTATGACAGAAAAAACTGGATAAATTATGTATATTGTATTGAAACAGATGAGGGAA